TGTTTTTTCCATTATGTAGCTATTGTTTAGAGTAGCATGGCCATTTTCCGCAGAGGAAGAATTACTATTTGTGGAGCCCAACATGTGGAATTTATTGGAAGGTTTTTTCAATTTCGTTTTCTGGCGCTTAGTTGAGGTCTTTGGTGTGGAAGAAATATATGGATGGAAACTATTATTGTTGCCATTGCGTTTAAGGACATTTTCAGCCATCGAAGGTGATTCAAGCTAAATTTAAAAAGAAGAATACAATTGAAGTTAATAGGCTGGTAGAAATATTATATTATACTTTACCTCTGGCTGATATATACGCTCTATAGTATAGGCACTATAGTTGTTATTGCCATTGGGAGTATCACCAACAGCCGTGGGTCTTTCTTTTTTAAATTTAATTTTCAATGTTTTATTTTGAGATCCTTTATTGGGCGTATGCATACTGAAACGTATTGTGGAGGCTTCAATTTGATCTTCTAAATCACCTTCGTTATCTAAATTGTTAAGATGTTGTTGTGCTGATGGTTTTTGTTGTTGATTATGATGGTGATATTGATAGTTAGGATGCTGTTGAGGAAGTTGTTGGTTGTATTGTTGTTGTTCATCTTCTGTATCCTGATTGTCTTCATCCTCATCTTCTTGATCACCTTCAGTTTCCTCTTCTTCAACTTTAGTGTATTGCTGCTGCTGCTGTTGTTGTTGGTGCTCATGTTGACGTTGTTGATATCTTTGTTGTTCATAATGATTTACATTATATTGTTGTTGCTGTTGCTGCATTTGCAATTGCTGTCGTTGTTGTTGCTGAGGATCTAGTTGTGTTTGAGGTTGCTGTTCTTGTTGATACAATTGAGTTTCATGTTGCTGCTGTTGCTGGTAATATAAATGATTATTGTTAATATGATGCAATTGTTGCTGCTGTTGATGTTGTACATAATATTGTTGCGTTTGCTGATACTTGGCTGCAGTTGTTGTTGTGTTGGTGGTGGTTTCCGTTTTAATCGAACCAATCTCCTGCACTTGTACATTAAGATTCTGTTGGGCTTGTGTGCCACTACTTTGGGCTTCTCTATTGCTCTGTTCTTGCTCCACGTGCTGTTGTGTTTGGTAATTTTGTTGTGGGTTATATTCTTGTTTCACTTCTTCCATTTTATATTTACAACGTCTGGCTTTTATCTCTTCGGGACTAAATTCTACACCCAAATCAGGAGGATAAACTAAAGATTTCGCATAGTGACAGACCTTTTGGGGATCATCTGGTTCCTCCAGAAATAGTGCCGGTTGCCAGGTTTCATGATTGTTTCGACAGTATGTAGCAAATTTTTTAGGCAGTCTTATGCCTGCCACTAGTATGTTTGTGCTACTACTATTTGCTTGTGGAGCATTTTCCACTCCATTTCGTTTGCTAGAAGCCTCTACAGCTCTTTCATATTGTTGGCGACTCATGCCTGCCGTTGCTGCGGGCAATTGTTGTTCTACGGGAACATTATAACCAGCTTGTTCTTGCCGGGATTGTATTTGCGGCTGTGGATGAACAACAGCAATTTGTTGCTGTTGTATATGCTGTGTATTGACATTATGTTGCTGTTGTTGGTGGGTGTTATGTACGATTTTTTGTTGCGTATTGTAAGCAGGAGTTGCAGCAACCTGAAAAAGAATATGTTATATGTTATTTTGGTGTATTTTATGCTAGAGATTAGCGAAAAATCTGTTTTTGTATACAGTTTATATGTTAATGGATTCTTTTTAGAAATCTTATATGAATAGTTCCATATGAAAGGTTCTTTTGGAAAAAAATTCTCTTTTCAAATATAAAAACAATAATTCACCTGCTCATTAGATTCTTTATGCTGATGGACATTTGCTGCCGTTTGTATTTGGGCCTGAGGATGGACATGTTGATGATGTGGGGTATCCTGTAAGTTTTGATGTTGTGCTGGATAATGATTATGATTCGGTAGGTTATGATATCCATGTGTTTGAAGCTGTTGTTGTTGCTGCTGAGCAGCAGCTGCAGCAGGATGTTGATTATATTGATGATGTGAAGTGGTTGGATGGGCCATTTGTTGTTGTTGTTGTTGCGTTTGATGATTTGCAGAATGATGATAGGAAACTTGTTGACGATATTGCTGCTGCTGTTGTTGTTGCTGTTGCTGATGTATTTCCATATTACCAACATTGGGATTAGCCGTAGAAGTTCCAACATTACTGTTCGCAGTAGTTGTTTGATAAGCAGCATGCTGAGGATGCAGCAATTGCTGTTGTTGGGCCTGAGCATGCATAGTTTTGCTATACATTAATTTGCTATGGCCATGATGTAATTCTGCATAAGGTTGGGCTTTTTCCTGAAAGGCCAGAATATATACAGCTTCAGCTTCTTTAAAGGCATTAATGGACTCGTAATAATTTGCCCAGCCAATATAGAAGCAGGCCACCTGTTTGCCCACACCTCTTTGATGTAAAACTTGATAGAAATGCAGTGGATTGTTCTGCATATCAATGTACTTTAACCACAGACGCACCATACGCACGTCCATCTTATAATAGTCACTGTGCTCATAAAGCGTTAAACACCTTTCCAATGTTTCACGAAATTTATTATCTGGATCACCATGACCATGATTTTCATACCAACATATATAGTTCCACCAATGATCTAAAGGGTCGGGACCCTGATACAAGGCTATGGCATTCTCCCACGCCTGCTTGTCCTTGAGGAAACTATGCATTTGATCGGCAGGCACAGAATGTCTAATGATCGAATTCATTTCAAATTTTGAAGTTTTCCTTCCTTTTTTTGCACTTTAGAAGAGATTTTCAGAAAATCACCTCACTTATGCAAAAAAAAAACTCCAAGATGCTTGCGTCAATTAGAATTGTTTCGCAGGAACATCAATAGCGCGTCAGATTTACAACACACACACTGCACAAAGGTATTTTCTAGTTCTTGTTGTGATCGGCTTCTTTTGCTTCAGGTTTAATCTCAAGCAAAACACTTTAATTTTTAAAATTTTTTATCAAAAATTGCATTCATTGCATTTAAATTAAAACAACAAATATTTTTTAACCAAAAAAACCAAAGAAAATATTATTTCTTCCTCATCTAAAAAATCTCCACTATGAACAAGAAGAGAAAAGAGAAATGACGAAATCTTTGGCGCGTTATAGTAACGGCGTTAAATGTTTTAGAGGCGGCTAAGTAAATGCAAAGGAAAACAATAAAAGTAGTGGAAATATTTAGTTTTTGTTTATTTTAAATTTAAAAACTAGTTTCTGTATGAAAAAGTGGTAAAGATTAATTTTATTGCAATATAATTACCACTATCGATTAATAATATTGAATTTTTATAAATATTTATATAACAGAACACAGTTTAAATTATTTTAAAATTGTGTTAATGTTTTAAGATTAATTGTGATTTAGCAGAAATTTGAACTCCAGTCTTAAAGAATATTAGAAACTCCTTACAGACTCGAAACGGTTCCAATTTGTTCAAATATTTTTCATTGATACCTTTAGTACGAAATCTAACATTACTAGATTTTTGGTTTGTTCTCTTTATCTTTATCTCTTTATCTTAGTGGGTCATACTATAAATAAATAGCATGCAAATTTTTTATTTTGTTAAAATTAGTTCAAGCGAATCATATTTTTCACCCCAATTTAAATAAGAATATAATAACTAAACATGCAATATAAAAGAAGTAATTAAACCTTAAGTTTTTAATTATATAATCCTAAGGCATTAAAAGAGCTAGGATTCTGCAATATCAAATCAAATTCTTAAATTTCCATAAAAACCTAAAAAACATTTTTTCGAGATGGCGCTCAATGGGTTAATGTATAGTGTTATGTTATACATCGTTCAAGAGCTTTTCAAAGCTTTAAAAACGTCATTTGTTAAATATATAGGTAATATTAATTAATTAAAGATATTGTCAACCCTGTTTCCACACATTTTTGTTGCACTCATTGACAGAGTTGTATTTTTTGGTGGAGAGTTTTGGAGAAAAAAAGCGCAGAAAAAACAGAACAAGACATAATAATGAAGAAGAGTCAAAAAGTATACACACACATACACATATACAATAATTGTACAAAAAAGTAGACACAACAAAAATTAGTTTTCTTGTTTTATTTTTTCTTTAATTTAAATTAATTTTAATAAATTTGCTAATTGGATGCAAAGAAGTGTATTTACCCCACAAGGTGCTCGTTTCTAGTGTAAAAATATCAAATAAAAGTGTGAAAATAAGTTTTACAACAAATCTAGAAAACATAATAATAATTGACACAAAACCATCATAATTGTACATCGTATGTGTGTGGGGTCATCATCATACCACTACCGCCGGCATCTCTGCGAGCAGTGCTTAGGAAAGCAGCGTCTCAGCAAATCTGATTTTTTTTATATGAACTAAGCATTTTACTTAGAGGGGGGGCATCTCAGCAAAATTGTCCCCATAAGTTATATACGTGTTTGTGTGTCGAACTCAGCAAAAATTGCTGAGCTGCAGCAAGTGTGAAAGCAGCGAGAAAGAATACGTTAACGTTTTTTGGCAGAGAAGCAAACGAAAACAAAAACATATTGTAAATTTTATTGATTTCCCCAAAAATTTCTTAAAAAAATTAAAAAAAAAAAACAAAAAGAAGACGAGACAGTATTTTAGCTAATTAGCAAATAAAATGGAATTTTCGGCCGATCCCTATGAATACAAGTTATATCAAATGTTCCAAAGTTGCGATACAAATCAGTGTGGTTTTTTGGATGAAAATTCCCTCAGACGTTTGTGTGCACAACTAGAATTACGTGATAAAGGTGCAGTGCTTATTGAAAATTTAGCCCGGGAAGGACGCACATCACATGTTACCTTTGAGAACTTTAAGGAAGCTTTATTGAATTTTTTAGGCACCGAAATCGATGGTGCAAATACCAGTGATATTACAGGAGAACAAAGAAAAGAACAAATTGCAAAAGACAACCAGGATAGTGTGGATAAATCAAGTGGAGGTAAGTAAGCAAGTTGTCTTATTTGCTTTTTTTTCTAAATTACGTCAAAATATTAATCAATAACAAATAAATTGATTAACATGTAAGATAAGATTTTTTTTGTATATCATACAAAACCACTTAAGAACGCCTAATGTTTTAGCCATAAAATTCTGATTTAATTATTATTTAGTTCCCGCAATAGGTGTCTTTAGGTTTTTGTCAATACAAGGGAAGGGAAATGTATCTGTTTTCAAGTGTCCCTATTAATAGAAGTCTTAGAAACTAATTAAATAGTAGTTTCAAAGCTTACACAATGATTTATTTTTATGCTAAAGAAAAATTCATTAGCGAATAATTTAGAATGATAACGTTAATGACATCAGAAAATCCAAGCAACGATCTTATACTTACCACACCTAAACAATATTATTAGGTAGGTAGGTAGGTTGATAGGAGGATGTATACTACATCAAATCCGAAGAAATACACCTAGGCCACTATCGGGCCTGTTGTGCGCTCCAATTCAAGAAAAAAAAAAAAAAAAAAAAAAAAAAATTGTTCACTGAATGTATTATTTTTCCATGTTCAGAAACTCAGTTTCCTGGACGTAATTCCTAAGAATCTTCCAATCGGTGTTGGTTAAGAATGTTATTTCTGGAATAACATCACTTCCAAGATACTTGGATCTAACTTCGACGAATGCCTGACAATGGCAAAGAAAGTGCTCCAGAGTTTCACTGTCCTCTCCACATGCTCTACATTCGTCTGAATTCGCACGTCCAATTTTGTATAGATGTGCTCGTAATCCTGTGTGTCCACTGAGAATACGTACCATCATACTAACCTCAGACTTGCTCATTTTGAGAAGATTTCTCGTCTTGCTCTCATCAGGGTCACCCCATAGAATCTTTGTGGTTCTACCCACCGTTTCATTATTCCAAGAGGCCTTATGGGATTCTCTCATCCATATTTTTAATTCAGCTTTTGTTGCGTCGAATGGTTTTGCGTTTGTCAGGTTAACTACATCGAGCTCCCTTCCCTTTAAAGCTATTACATTCGCCCTTTCGTTGCCGACTACTCCCGAGTGGCCTGGTACCCATATGATGTGAACCTTACCTCTGGGAGAGTATTCAGTTAAAGCTTTCTTACAATCCAATACAGTCTTAGATTTAATTCTATCACCTGATATCGCACAAATTGCCTTCTGGCTGTCGGTAAATATATTAAGCCCTGTGGGCGCCATATTTATTCTAATCCAATTTACACATTCCGTTATTGCTCGTACTTCTGCCTGGAAGCTTGTGTTATGATTAGGTAAACGGTGGTATATTTCTGTTTCTGGGTCTTCAATATAGAACCCCAGACCCACTTTGTCCCCTAATTTAGAGCCATCCGTGTAGCAACGGATTCCTACTGGTATTTGCTCTAATGTTCCGCTTGACCAAGACATTCTATCTGGGATTAGCGTTTCAAAGTTTCCGACATATTCAGTGTCTGGTATGCGATCAGGCACGTCCGATGAATGTGTATAACCTTCCAATGTGTCCAGTATACATTGATGACGTGTCTTATAACCGTTTTTGGCCAGTTCGCCTAAAGTAAAGAGCCGTTCGGCTGTAAGCGCCGCCTCATATCTTATATATGTTTCAATGGGTGGAATATCTAGCAACGTTTCCAGAGCCTTGGTTGAAGTAGTACACATGGCACCACTTATACCCAAGCAGCATGTACGCTGAACTCCCTGCAGTAGTTTGATATTACACTTTTTGTCCAAAGCACTCCACCAAATTATTGAAGCATAAGCTAGAATTGGTCTAATTACACTTTTATAAAGCCAATTTGTCATAGTAGGACTAAGACCCCATTTCATGCCTATGGTTCTCCTACATATCGCCCAGCACCGATGTGCCTTGTTGATCCTATCCTGTCAAGTATTACACCTAAGTACTTAACTTTGTCTGTCACCGGTATCTTCTTGCCCAAGAAGCAAGGTTCAGTATATGTAGAAATTTTTGTCTTTCTTGTGAAAAGACAGATTTCCGTCTTCGCCGGGTTAACATTGAGGCCTCTCGGTTGAGCCCAGCTCAAGGCCGTATTCAGAGCCTCCTCAGCTCTTCTACACAAGTAATTTGGATCCTTTCCCTTTAAAAGTATTACGACATCGTCTGCATAGCAGACAGGTCTAAGTCCTTTCTCGGTTAGGGTCCTTAGGAGGCTATTAATCGTGGTGACCCAGAGTAAAGGTGACAAAATGCCACCCTGTGGTATACCGCGAAATACCTTTTTCCTGATAGTTATATCGTACATCTCGCAGCTTATCCATCTGTTCCTTAGCATGTAGTTGATCCAGTTACGGAGCACCCGGTCAACATAAAACTGGTCTAGGGATTGGATAAGGGTATCAGTGTGCACGTTATTGAAAGCGCCTTCGATGTCAATGCATACTGCCAGTGTATACAGTTTGCTATCGAAAGATTCACTTATGTAGTGGACAACTTCATTTAAAGCGGTTTCCACCGATCGTCCCTTTACATAAGCATGCTGCTTATATTTAAGGTCATTGTATGGTATGCTGCTTTTAACCATGCTATCGACTATCCGTTCCAAGGTTTTAAGTAGGAAGGACGTAAGACTTATCGGTCGATAGGACTTAGGTGTCGCATAGCTAGGTTTCCCTGGTTTGGGTATAAATATTACCTTTGCATCCTGCCATTTAACTGGGGTATATGCCAATTTTAAGCATGCAGTGAATATCTGTGACAGATGTACGGAAACCAGTCCCGCCTCCATCTGCAAAAGTGCCGGGAAAATTCCATCCGGCCCTGCAGCTTTATAGGGAGCAAAGCTCTTGATTGCCCCTTTAACCATGTCAGTTGTAATAACTATTTCCGTGTTACCCTCCCCTTCCTCCAATATCGGTTCATCTATGTTATTCGATATACCGGGTGGGAAATGAGAATCCATTAGGAGTTTCATTGTCTCCTCCATATCCTCAAGCCTCCTGCCCGTGTCATCGATCATAGATTCCGGTTGGACATGAGTTTTGGATAGGAATTTTTTTATCTTCGATACGTCATTTACGCTATCTACCTGTTCACAGAAAAGTTTCCAGGAGTCTCGTTTGGCTTTTCGAACGATTTTCTTATATTCACCAAGTTTATTACGATACTCATCCCAGTATACTGCGGTCTTTTTACGCCGTGCCCGGTTAAATAGTTTGCGAAGAGTCTTCCCAAGGTTCCGGATCTCCCCAGTTACCCAGGGTTTTTCCTGGGCAGATCTCCGCTCTCGCAGAGGGCAGCTGTCCTCGAACGATTCAACCAGGGCACTTGTGAACGTTTCCACTTTGGCATCTATATCCTCTTTATTTCGACATTGAAAAGTATCCTGACCTAAACGGTTCTTTAGTAAGGCCCCGAACATTGTCCAATTAGTTTTAGACTTATTCCGAAACTTTATCGGCTTTGGTGGTGGCCTTAGTATTTTGAATCTTATGTACCGATGATCAGAAAAGGAGTGCTCGTCCGAAACTCTCCAATCCTGAATTTCGTTTATAAGCTCTTCTGAACATATAGTTATATCTAATACTTCTTCTCTGATTCTATTGACGAAGGTAGCTTTATTACCTAAGTTCAATGTTATCAAGTCTTTAGTATTAAAGAAATCCATGAGGGCTTGTCCCCTGCGATTGGTGTTTGTACTACCCCAAGCTACATGATGCGAGTTGGCATCACAACCTATTACAATTTTCTTATTTTTCCTTTGTGCCTCTTCAACCAGTTTCATCAGATCCGACGTTGGTGGTAGGGTCGGAGAATCGAAAGGCAGGTAAATAGATGCAAGGAATATGTTGCCTCGACCTTGCTTCAGCACCGTTGCATCCGATGTTGATAATCCTGTTGAGAGGAGAAAACATAAGTTCTTGTGACATAAGATACATGTTCTCGGGCGAGATCCTGTATCAGCGTAGAAAAGTTGGAAATTTACGTGATTTAATCCAGAAACCTTGTTGCGAATCGTCCAAGGTTCCTGGATTAAAGCTATATGTATTTTACCTGTGTTGATTTTAGCCATCAGAGCGTTGGTAGCTGTCTCGCTCCGATGGAGGTTTATTTGGATAACCTCAATCATGGTCATCCATTAAACTGTCTTCCAGCGAGTTGGTGGTCACCTCCTCGCTCTTTGGATTTGACTCCTCCGGATAGCCTGAAGTGGCTATTAATGCAGTGAGTACTGTTGATGGCACTGCGGTGTCCTTATCAGGCATAGGAATAGCAGTATTTTTAATAGACACATTCCCAATTCTGGAGAGCATTGCTGTTCTGTCTTCTGGCGGGTGAGTGATTTCCTCCTCGCTTTTAGGATTTGACTCCTCAACATTGCTAGTACTTGCTAATGATGCTTTGGGTACTGTCTTAGGTGTTTTAGTGTCCTTGTCGGGGCCGGTTTTGACAGCCCTTTCAATCGGCGCCTTCCCAATTTTGGAAAGGGCAACTACACTTTCTTCTGGCGAGTTAATGGTAAATTCCTCGATTTTAGGATTTGACTCCTCAACGTTATCAGTAGTGGATACTGTGGTCTTAGGTTTTTTAGTGTCCTTTTCGAGGCTTGTTGTAACAGCCCTTCCAATCGGCACCTTCCCAATTTTGAATATGACAGATTTAGAGGCGAAGTAAGCCCTACCTTTATTCTTGGCAAGACTAGCCATGGATTTCTGGTCGATACCTATTACAAATAAAGTTCCCTCAGGTTCTTCTTTCCTGTAAAAGACATCCCATTTTTCCACGGCCAGCTCAGCATTTTGACCTCCAAGAATTTCCAGTATACGTTCATTAGCCAGTTTACTGCCCCATCCTTTTATGTAGACAGTGGACTTTAGGAGCACCGGAAGCTCGCTCTTCTTTGCCAGTCCCAGCCTAGCGCCGTCCCAGGGAGGAGGGATACTTTCCACCAAGTTCTTTAGGGTGCTAACACATTGGTGAGATGCCAACCTCATCAACATCACGCCCATGCTGAAC